TGTGCTCCAACCTGGACAACAGAGTAAGACTCTGTCTCCAAAAAAAACAAAAAACAAAAAAAGGCCAGGCACAGTGGCTCATATAATCCCAGCACTTTGGGAGGCCGAGGCGGGCGGATCACGAGATCAGGAGATCGAGAGCATCCTGGCTAACATGGTGAAACCCCATCTCTACTAAAAAATACCAAAAATTAGCCAGGCGAGGTGGCGGGCGCCTGTAGTCCCAGCTACTCAGGAGGCTGAGGCAGGAGAATGGCGTGAACCCTGGAGGAGGAGCTTGCAGTGAGCCGAGATCGCGCCACTGCACTCCAGCCTGGGACACAGAGCGAGACTCCGTCTCAAAAAAAAAAAAGGAAACCACCTCATAGAAGCTCTCTGTTGCTTCCACAAATATACTTTGAACAAAATGTAATGCACTTCGAACAGTACCTGTCACAAACTAAATGCTCAATACACGTTAATTATTTTAATCTACCGTAATTATTAACTATCGCCATCATCATACCACTAGACTATCGATGTCGTTGAGGAAGGTGGTAATTCAGTCTGCTGCATGTGCTGGTCAAAGTGCATTACTTGTAATTACTTGTAGAACTGGTAGAGAAGAGGGAAACAGATCAGAAAAATTTCTCAAATCTACAACCTGGACATGTGGTAGTGACATTTTTCAGGAAAGAAATCCAGTGGTGCTGGAGAGCAATCACTTGCTAAAGAGGTTAGCATGGATAAAAGGTAGCCAGGTGCTAATAGTCCTAACAATGGGAAAAGACCCTGAAGGCATCTCAGACATCTTTGAGGCTGCCTCTCCCATCAGAGGCCCAGAGACCTAGGAGGACAGCATGGTTTGGGGAGACAGGGCCAGGGCACAGCTGGCCTGGAACACCTCAAGGAGTCCTGGAACGTCCTGCAGGCTGCTCCAACACCCAGCCGCTGCAGTCACAGAATGTCTACCTAATGACTGTACAACCATTGTATCTTGGAAAAAAATAATTCGTTTTTGGTTTTACAGGCTCATAGCTCGAAGGAACTTGCTTTGATTCTCAGACTTTGAACCTCGAAGTTGATGCTGGAACAAGTTAAGAATTTTAGGGACTACTGGAATTGTCTTTTGCATGTGAGAAGGATGAGAGCTGGGTGGTCAGGGGTGGAATGCCATGGTTTGGATGTCTGACCCCTCCAAATCTCACGCTGAAATTTAATCCCCAGTGTTGGAGGTGGGGACTAATAGGAGGTGTTTTTTTCATGGAAGCAGATCCCTCATGAAGGCTTGGTGCCATCCTCACAGTAATGAGTGACTCCTCACTCTACTAGTTCCCAGTAAAGCTGGTTGCTAAAAAGAGCCTGGCACGCCACAGCCCACCCCACCTCTTGCTTCCTCTCTCACCATGTAATCTCTGCATACACCAGCTCCATGAGTGGAAGCCTAAATCTTTCAGCAGAAGCAGATGCTGGTGCCATGCTTCTTGTACGGCCTTCAGAACCATGAGCCAAATAAACCTCTTTTCTTTATAAATTACCCAGCCTCAGGTATTCCTTTATAGCAACACAAATGGATGAAGACAACTTTCATATCTTTATATCTGCAGCAGCATCTGTAACAAGCCTTGGACACAGCAGACATGCAGTGAAGATGTGTTCTGCTAACGGAAAAAGTAAGTCAACATTTTTGAAACCCCACTAGACGAAGGCATGTGGGAGGCAACAGGCTGCAAATGAGATTTCTATCTTAAAGTAGTTTATAATCTCAAGACCACAGATATGTAAATTACTTATACAATCAACAGCGACTGCATACATGTAAATACAAAGGAAGTTCCTGGAATGGCTGCATTTGTCAGGATTAGGCTGAGAACACTGAGGCTCAAGTTAAAAGGAGTAAGAATTGTGAGGCCATTCAGCCACAAATAATTACTCCAAAGAGGTACAAAGCAACAGTATTCAAAGAATAGCAAGAACATCTCCAAGAGTGCAGTAAAGAACAGCATCATTAGCCAATGGGGGTGAGCTTTTAAGAGTGGCTGGCAGAGGGCCTGGAGACAGCAATGCAAAGCCAGAGCCTGAGCTTCTTTAAAGCCTCTTCAGTAAGGTTCCCACTTTGGGAAGGAGTGTGTCAAGAATAGACGGGAGGGGAAGGCTAGAATAAGAAGCCTGACAATACATACTAGAGATACACGGCAGACAGGACACCCTGGCTGTCCGCACTATTCTCAAGCGGGAATTTGGGACAACCCATTTAAGAGCCCATCTTGGCACAAATGCCATGATAGCCCTGAGTGCCAGAGCAGCGGCACTTGAATCTGAAACCTCTTCTTAGAGTAAGACTATTTATTTCTCTCTGTCTCATAAGGCTTACCACAGTCTATACAGCAAAATGACTTAGAGCAATTGCTGAGATCTGGGTTCAGATCTCAGTTCTGACACTCATTAGATGTACGGCCTCAGGGAACATACTTAACTTTACTTAGCCAGGAATAAAATGGGGACAATTATTATACCCGCCCCTTAGGTAGGGATATACAAAATGCTGAGCAGAGTGAATAGCCCAGTAAGTTCTCAGCCAGTATTATTAAGAAAATGTAGAATAAGGTATGGATTTTCAGACCCTTGCATTAACACCACAGTGCTCCAGAGATCCTTGATACTCAAGTTGGGAGTCACTGTCCTGGAATACAAATAAAAAACATAGAAGAGCAGTTCATTCCCTCTGCAAGTGTTTATGTGGTAGCTACAGAATTCAGCACTATGCTAGGGGTACATATGCCAGTGCAACACCAAATGAGGTGACAATATAGAGGGCAAATGCTGTAGGGAAGAAAAAAACACTGGGGCAGACATTCAAACCAGCCTGAAAGCCACGCAGGTGTTTTAAGTTGGAAATGAAATGAGGAACCAAAAAATTCTGGTCAGGCAGTGATCTGCTGAGTGTGGTGCTTCAGGAAGACTCGCATGACAGGCTGCAGGACAAACTAGAGTAGGGGTCCACCTCCACACCTTCCTGGCCACTCAGCTCCATCCAAATGACTGCTCTTAAAAGTCAAAGTTAGGTTCTATTTCTAATCTGCACTGATTCATACTGCTGGTCACGTAAATTGGTATAGGCCACACCAACACAGCACATTAACATCTTAACTAATTTCCTAACAATACTAAAATCAAATCTCTACTTTCCAGAGATTATATAAACTTGGTAAACATTTGAGCTTCAGGTCCAGTCTGACAAAACGGAAAAAAAAGAGATTCATCTGCAGAAAGGTCCCAGCATTAGAAAACAAAGAGAAGGGGGAGGACAGTATGTAGGCCCTGACCTTTCTTACTGCCTCAATTCAAGGATTCGATTTCTCAACCTCAGATCCTTGCCCTCTTCCTCAAACTCAGATCCACCTCTTACTAGTTTTCAACTCTTGTCTATTATGATTACCTTAAGCAAAGCAAGATGCATGAATAACCAGCAGTAAATCAGGTATTCAATAGTTGAAATTGTGTAATATTCTGTGACTGTGCATCTGGCCAATTTCAACTTCTCCTTCTTTCTAATTTTTTTTCTCTTTTTTTGAGGCAGGATCTCACTCTCTTGCCCCAGACTGGAGTACAGTGGTGCCATCACTGCTCACTGCAGTCTCAAACTCCTGGATTCAAGTGATCCTCCTGCTTCGGCCTCCCAGTAGCTAGCACGACAAATGAGCACCAGCATGCCTGCCTAATTTTTTTTTTTTTTTTTTTTTTTTTTTTTGTAGAGACAAGGTCTCAATATGTTGCCCAGGCTGGTCTCAAACCCCTGGCCTCACCTCAAGCAATCCTCCTGCCTCTGCCTACCGAAGTGCTGAGATTTCAGTTATGAACCGCTGCCTCCTGCCCACTTAGCCTTTTCTAACACTAGAGAACTTTCAGAGTGGTTTCAATACCAATTGGACACTTCCCAGCGATTTAACCTCAAGCCAATCAAACTCCCAGGCCTCCGTTTCCACATCGAGATAATAAAAGTACCTCCTCAAAGAGTTTGTTATGAGAACTAAATGAGTTAATATTAGCCAAGCGACTGGAACATAATAGACACAATATGTATTAGCCATTTTCATCTTTATTTGTGTTATATTGGCCACCACCCAGAGATACCCAGGAGCACACATATCACATTCTTTCTACAGCAATATGTGGGCATGATTACTTCATGACCACTGAATCGCAAACAGCACAGCTTTTGATAAAGCACAGTGGTCGGATCCTACCTATTGCAACACCTCTGAGAGACGACTCTCACACACCAGCCATGCCTAGCCTGAGACATTCCGAAGACCTCCTCCTGATGACCTTACTCGAGGAACTTATTTCTTTGGAAATGGAACCTAGCCTCACTTTTGGACCAGTGTGTCTCAGATACACGTCCAAACGTGTGAACCTGAATCCCAGAAGTTGGTGTGATTTAAAAGTTTTTCAAGTTCTTTTTCCTAAACATGTCCTAGTGGGTGACTCCACAGCATCACTTCCTTTCATGTTCTCTTTTCTATCTGGAAAGCCGGTGACAGGGGACGAAACCAGCAAAGCACCCTTTTTCCTGCTTCCCAAACATTAGCAGGTAAGCGCCCCGTGAGCCGAGATACATCAAGAGGACCTCACCCGCAAGTTCATTGATCACCAGTTCTTTTCCCCTCCCGGCACCAGCAGCTGCGAAGCACGAAATGGGCTTGGAGGAAGAGACGCTGCGGTCACCTGAGGGGCAGGTGCGAGCGGGCGGTCCTGCCCGGGTGTGAGGGTGACATCCCGCGCGGCACCCACGCTCACAGCCCCCAGAGGAAGACCAGAGGCACTCGACGCATCCAGCACACCCCACACACGACACACTAACGGCACCGCACCTTACGTCCCACCTCCCGGCAGCAGACCCCTTCCGGGACGCCGAGACGGCTGTTCCTGGAGACACCGCAGCCCGCGAGGAGCGGCGCGCAGGGAGAGCACGCGTGCCCAGGCGGCCTCGGCCGGCGCGCCCCCGCCCCCACACTCACCTGGCCCGTGATGCCGGTGATGAGCGCCACGTTCCTGGGCTTGCCCATCTCGCCGTCCCCGGAGCCCCGGGCGCTGGAGCAGCGTGCGGGTGCGTGTGCCATGTCCCGCGGCGGCCGTGCGGTCGGCGGCAGGGCGGAGCGCGGCAGAGGGCAGGCGCGGCGCCGGCAGGAACGCGGGTGTGTGCGGCGCGAAGCGCCTCTCCAGGCTGCGGGCAGGGAGGGAGAGCGCACCGCGCGACCGGCCGCCACAGTCTGACAGGGGCGCACGGGAGGCCGCGCGGGGAGGGCCGGGGGCGGGCCGAGCCGGCCGAGGCGGGCCCGACGGCCAAGCAGCGGGGCTGCGGCCTGACTGGCGCCGCGTCATTCGCGTCAACCGGCGACGCTGTGGCAGGCCCCGCCCCTCCGCTGACGGCCGCCGCGCGGGGCGGGGCCTGCCGCCGCCGCCGCCGCCGCCGCCTGAGGGAAGAGGAAGAAGGCAGCGGCTTCGCGTCCCGCCTCTCGCCTGGCTGGCCGTGGGCGGCCTGGACGCAGTTCCCTTGTCCTCCCCGGCGGCCTCTCGAATCTCCCAGGAATCCTAATGTCACCCGAGGATGCTGGGAGGAACGCTGAGCCGACCTCTCCATTGGGCTAAAGGTCTGAATTTGCAAACCCTGGGGTCCCAGGGCCGGGATCATCGACTTTGATGAATCCTGGAAACTTGTCGCAGCGCCTTTGGGAAGCCTGGTTTATGGTACCTGAAGGGCGCTAGCGTTACAAGGCCCCGAGACGGGGGTTGCAGAGGTGGGGGTGACTAACGAGGCTGGCTCTTGCTCTTCTGGCGTTCCCTGAGGTCGGAACCAGGAACGAGGTTCCAAATAGCTGAATTCAACGTGTTCTGTTCTGGGGACTGGCAGTGCACAAGCAAGTCCCTGGCCCCACCCGTATGCAGCATAAGGAAATGTTGAAAAGACTGCCCGGGTCAATAAACCTGGACGTGGCAAATTTCAAAGAAAGTAATTCAAACACAGGTGGGGTCCTGGCTTATATCTATTGGATTTGGCTGCCATTTGGCAGCTGCTCGTTGGACAGGGAGAGACGAGGAGGTGACTCAGAGCCTGCAGGACAGCAGGTGTGTGTGCCTAGGCAGTTGGCTGCCATCCAGGGCAGAGCCGGAAACTTCCCGGTCTCCGTTGCTCTGCTTCTCAGTCCTTATTCCTCCCCCAATCGATAACCTCAGATCATCGTTTCAAATCAGAGTTACTAGGGCTGTGCCCATTGTAACATGCAAGAGTATGTATAGCAGACCTGGAACCCCAAAATCAGAAAAGCTTAGGATTAATTTAAAACCTCTCTCTCCCGCTCCGCGAAGTCCGTTAGGAATATTTCTTAGCTTTGTAGATAGACGGTCTGGTTTCACACCCGGCCTCTCTGCGTTCTATGAGGAGAATGGCTGAACGAACATCTGGTGCGCCAGTAGGATGCTGCCTCTGAGTGATGAAGGGACCCTGAAGCTGAGGAAAGGAAACGCTTCCATTGAGAGGAACATGCTATAAGCTAGAAATGTCTGTGAAATATACAGGAATATGCTACAACTATATTCGTTTTCATGTAAATACGCTTTAAATTAATGCATGAACAAATTATTTAACATTTTCCTGAAAAAATCACTGAGCGGTCGGGCGCGGTGGCTCACACCTGTAATCCCAGCATTTTGGGAGGCCGAGGCGGGTGGATCACGAGGTGAGGAGTTCGAGACCAGCCTGACTAACATAATGAAACCCCGTCCCTACTAAAAATACAAAAATTAGGTGGGCCTGGTGATGCGTGCCTGTATTCCCAGTTACTCAGGAGGCTGAGGCAGGAGAATCGTTTGAACCAGGGAGGCAGAGGCTGCAGTGAGTCGCTACTGCACTCCAGCCCGGGTGACAGAGTGAGACTCCATCTCAAAAAAAAAAAAAAAACAAAAATCACTGAGCAAGCCGGGCGCCGTGGCTCATGCCTGTAATCCCGGCACTTTGGGAAGCTGCGGCAGGTAGATCACCTGAGGTCAGGAGTTCGAGACCAGCCTGGCCAACATGGTGAAAACCCGTCTCTACAAAAATACAAAAAATTAGCCAGGCGTGATGGTGGGCGCCTGTAATCCCAGCTACTCGGGAGACTGAAGCAGAAGAATTGCTTGAACCCAGGAGGGGGAGGTTACAGTGAGCCTGAGATCTTGCCATTGCACTCCAGCCTGGGCAAGAAGAGCAAAACTCCATCTCAAAAAAAAAAAAAATCACTGAGCAAAACGGATACTTATGGGAGATATGACACATTTATCCTGTAGTTTGAGACCTCCTATCACACAAACACTGGAAGTTGATACCAGTCAATTTCCGGTCACACCCCCAAATACCTGCCCTATTAAGAAGTGTGTGACAGTAGAAGAAATAACGGAAATTAAATCAACATTATTAGGGCCTGAAAATATTTACAAAATGATGGGAAATGGTAGGTCAGAGGGAGCTTGAAGAATAAAGGCTATTTCTCTAGAAAACTTTTCTGAAGACAGGTGGTAGGTCTGCTACAGCAACATACCATCCATAGGGTGACAAATGATAGAAATTTATTTCCTCACAGTTCCGGAGACTGAAAGTTTAGGATCAAGGGCTGATTTCTTCTGAGGCTTCTCTCCTTTTCTTGTAGCTGGCTGTCTTCATGTTCACATGGTGTTCTCTCTATATATCTGTCTGTGTCTAAACTTCCTATTCTTATAAGAACACCAGTTACATTTGATGAGGGCCCACCTTAATTACCTTATTTACAAATACAGTCACATTTTGAGCTACTAAGGGTTACGACATCAATATATTAATTGGGAGAGGGACGAAATTCAACCCATAATTGACAGCTAGAGGGAAAAAGAAGTTCTTTTTTTTAACTGTTTTTGGGCGCAGAGGGAGGAGGTTGGTAGTGAAGGTTGTTGTCATTTTCCCAGTAGCATTAGGGCAACTTGAACAAAGTCAGCACAGGGTCTGGGGCAGCATAAGAAGATTACATGAACTAGAAGTAAAGCTACCAGCTGTAATGGAAAGCTCTAAGGGTGATGGCTCAGTTGTGTTTTCCTCTAACACAGTGGTTCTCATCCCTGGGTGATTTTGTCCCCAGGGGACATTTGACAACGCCTGGAGGCATTCTTGATTGTCACAAACGGAGCTGTGCTATAGGTATCTAATGAGTAGAAGTTAAGTATTTCGCTCACCATCTGCAGTGCACAGGTCGCCCCCACAACAAAGATTTTTCTAGCCCAAAATGTCAATAGTACTGAGGCCCAGAAACCCTTCTCCAGGAGGCGATAAAAGGCCAGTGAAAGATGTTAACAAGCAGGTGGTTGAACTGACAGACACTCTGGTTATACTATATAGTGACTTCATGGTATGTCAGAAAAGAAGCAAATACATTTAGTAGCTAGTTGTTGATACTGACACCTTTACTCACAAACTTGGCTAATCTCCAAAAACATACTAGCTGCTGAGGGTATAGCAGTAGAGGAGAAATAATCTTCAAGGGGCTATAATCTAAAGGGGATATGATATTGAATCATTTTATGACTTTCATAACATTTTCATATTTGTTTTAACATGATACAAAATATGGGGAGAAGAGTGAGGCCTCCAACTCCAAGTTCTCTAATTGGATATAAGTCAGTCATTCTATACAAGACTAAATATGTGGAATAACATTTTTCACATCTTTCTTTCCCATCTCTTGCCGCTGAGTACATGTCAGTTATTCAAGAATGATTCTCCTGCTTTCCCTTTAAAATTCTCTCTTCTCTCTGTTTTTAAATATTTATTTCCTTTGCTTTTCACCTGGAACATTTGCTGATTTTCTTTCTCAGACTGCACAAACCATGATAATGGCCAGCAAGGATGGAGGGAGCGTATGAGATGTGCCGGGCAGTGTGCTACGTCTCAGCCAACTCTAGGAGGTAAGTGTATTTGCTGTGGTAAAATATATATTTGGTCTTCATTTCCGTTTTCCTGGCATACAATTTCTAAAATGCTTAGACTCACCAAAATGATGTATTTTGTATGCTAATGAGTTCGCTGTTGAGTGGCAGCCCTTAGCTGGCTTCAGGGTGGAAACTGGTCATTGTGAAGACCAAGGCAGGATTAGAGGGCTAGGACTTCCAGCCCCATCCCCTAACCTCCAGGGAGGAGAGAGAAGCTGATGGCTAACTTGATCACCAATGGCCAATGATTTAATCAATCATGCCTACGTAATGACGCCTCCATAAAAACCCAAAAGGACTGTGTGTGGAGAGTTCTAGATCGTTGAACACGTGGAGGTTCATGGAGGGTGACGCTTCAGGGTGGGCACCAAAGCTCCAAGCTCATTCTCCTGTACCTTGCCCTGTACATCTCTTCATCTGCATCCTTTGTCATATCCTTTATAGTAACTGGTAATCCTGAGTAAGGGGTTCCCTGAGTTCTGTGAGCCACTCTATCAGATTAATAAACCTAAGAAGGGGGTCATGTGAACCCCAATTTTTAGCCAGTCAGAAGCACAGGTAAAATAAGCTGGGGCTTGCAATTGGCATCAGAAGTTGGCAGGGGCACAGTATTGGAGACTCAACCCTTGGCCTGTGGGATCTGATGCCATCTCCAAGGAGACAATGTCAGAATTGAATGGAATCGAAGGGCACCCTGCTGGTGTCGCCTGTAGAACTGATTGCCTGCTTGTTGGTGGGAAGAAATCCCTTGCATGCTTGGTCACAGAAGTCTTCTCTGTTGATTGTTGTATTAGAGCAGGGGAAAAACAATTTGAGTTTTTCCACACTCGGTATGATAATGGTCTTTATTTCATAGAGTCAGAAACTAAGAATTGGAAACATTAATAAACTTGCCTAAGGCCACATAGCTAGTGGCTGGTTATGGTAGATATTATACTCATTCAACTCCCATTCCATATTCTCTTTGGAAAAATTGGAGTGCTAACAGCCACATGTCCCAGACCATTTTGCATCTCACATATAGGAAGCAAATTGAGCTTTGTCAGTTAGATGTGTTCCTGCTCAATCTGGCAGGTGGAAGGGAAACAAGCCATCTTTCCGCTTTCTGGTCCAACTGACATGAGGATTAATGGCAGCTAGAGTCCAAGTTTGTTTCTAGTCACCGTTTTCATGGGCATGAGAGCCACTTGGGTTGGGGAAGCAGCATGGCAGCAGGAGTGGTTTTCTGAATTACGGCCTTCAGCTATGGCGGTAATGTCCTGACTTCAACAACAACTGATGGCCCTCCAAGTTCTCTTCCTCTGTCTCATGAATATTTTTTTCAACTGATAATTGTAGATTCAAATGTATTTTTAAGAAATAATACAGTGAGTGACATGGTCATGTCTTCAAATACTGTAGA